TGGGCATCCCTGGTACCAAGATGCCATGGGGTGTGGCAAAAATTGAAAAAAAAAAAGAAACCCTTTCTCAGCCTCTGGGGTTGAGGCAGCGTGGTAATGGAGCTGCTAATGATGCAGCCTCAATCGATCTTGGCACTGTTTGCCCAGAGAGCTTCAGAATCCTTAACACGTTCACCAGGCGGTCATTGGCAATGGAACCAATTGAACAGTTGCCAACTGTCCATTCATTAGTTTAAGACATTTGTTTATTGAGCTGTAGACACAGTGTTGAACAAATACACGGAATTTCTGGAAGACTCCAAAAGTAAACAACTACAGAAACAATTAGGATAGGGTAGAGAATCAGCAAATTATAGCTCCTGAGCTAAATCTGGTTTTTATTCAGCCTGCTAATGGAGAATGGTATTTATAAATTTAAAGTGGTTGAAAAGAAGTTAAAATAATTTTTTTTTTTGGTGATATGTGAAAAGAACTGAAAGCTATGACTTGAATAGATACTTGTACATGAAGTTTCAGCATGGTTCACACCAGCCGGAAGGTGGACACAGCCCAAGTATCCATCAACAGGTGATGAATAAATAAAATGTGCTCCATTTATCCATGGAATATCACTCAGCCTTAAAAAAAGGAAGGAGGTTCAGACACCTGCTACAACATGGATGGACCTTGAGGAGTTGATGCTCAGTGAGAAAAGCCAGACACAAAAAGGAAAAATGCTGTCTGATTTCACTCACAGGAGGTCCTAGATAAGTCAGATCCACAGAGACAGGAAGCAGATGGTGGGGCAGGAGCTGGGGGAGGGGGTGGGGAGTCAGTGTTTCATGAGGACAGAGTTTCAGTTTGGGAATATGAAAAAGTTCTGGAGATGATGGTAGGGATGGTTGCATGATACTGTGAATGTATTTAATGCCACTGAGCTGTGGACTTAAAAACAGTTAAGACGGTACATTTTATGTTACACAGATTACCACAACAAAGAGAAAAAGGCAAGGTTGTGTCCCCCCTCCCTTCTAGGCACCCCAGAGCAGGGCGTGCCTTCTCCCTCAGCTGCCAGGATATCTCGGAGGGCTTCCTGGAGGAAGCAGTGCTTCATCTAGGGTCATAGAAGACACATGGGGGTGGGACAGTAGCTTCTTTTGGGTCACAGCCCAAGCAAAGGCCTAGAGCTGGGACTGAACCTTGGAGAATGAGTGTCTGGAGCTCAGACTCTGCACCCAGCTCCTCATGCCATCTGGCTCAGTGACTCTGAGCTGGTGACCTTATGTCCCTGAGGCTCAGTTTTCCCATCTGCCGGATGGGCCAGTAACAGCCACTCCTGTTCAGGAGGAGGAGGTGAGGGTCATGTTCAAGAGGGGACCCAGTGTAGTGTCAGGCACGAGGCCAACAGGAGCTACTATTGCTGGTGTTGGGATTTCCCTCAAGGGCCATAGGGAGCCATGGTGGGTTCTTGAGAGAGGGAGGGGCAGGTAGACATGAATTTGAGGGGCCAGTGACTGCCTCCTGAAGCTGCCAGTCGCCTCTCCCCTCCACAGAGAGCGTGTCAAGGACCGAGAGCCCCTCCAAGATCATCAGACTGGACACTGTGCGGGTGATTGCAGAGAAAGTAAGCAAGGCTCTGCTGTGGGTCCCATTTCATGGATGGGGAAACTGAGGCCCAGGCCTCCAACCTGTTCTGGTCCCATGCCCCACAGATGTGATTTTCCATGGAGGCCCATTTTGGAGGCTTTTTCATGTGAAGGGCTTGAGGGGGACAGAGCCCGCCCTGTGTCATGCAGTGGCAAGCCCTGAGAAAAGGCAGAGAATCAAACTGGGGACTCTGTGCTCAAGACACTGTGACCCAGGCCAACACCAAACTCCACCCCAACATGCTGGCCTGCAGATGTGAGTGGTTTGGGGGTCCACTCTGACCTCAGACTCTTCATCTCCATCTGTTTGATTCTTCACCTGTCTCCAATGCTCTGTCTCTGGGTGTGGTTTTTCTCTCCACTGTCTCTCCATCTCTCTGTCTCTGTCTCCTGGCCCCGCGCCACTGCCCCCGACGCTGGCCCGGCCCAGGACAAGCACGCGCTCCTGGACGTGACACCCTCAGCCATTGAGCGCCTCAACTACGTGCAGTACTACCCCATTGTGGTCTTCTGTATTCCTGAGAGCCGCACAGCCCTCAAAGCCCTGCGCCAGTGGCTGGCCCCCGCCTCCCGCCGCAGCTCCCGCCGCCTCTACGCCCAGGCCCAGAAGCTGAGGAAGTACAGCGACCACCTCTTCACAGGTGGAATGGGAGCCGAGGGTCTGGGGTGGGCGGTGGGCCCTGGCCTGAGTCTCCCAGCCATGCTGATGCCCCCTCCCTGTAGCCACCATCCCCCTGCAGGGTACGAGTGACTCCTGGTACCAAGAGCTCAAGGCCATCATCCAGGAGCAGCAGACGCGGCCCATCTGGACGGCTGAGGACCAGGTACCTGGGCCAGGGGCTGGGACCTGCCTGGAGTTAGGGACTAGGGGGCGTGGCCAAGATTTGACCCTGAGGCTAAGGTCTCTGGACCTGGTTCCTGGGATGAGATGGGACTGGGGGTTGGGTTTGGGAACTGGGGTCTTCTCTAGGGGCTGGAGTCAAGACTTGGGGCTCAGTTCAGGTTTGGAGGCTCTGTCTTGAATAAGGTCAATAGTGAGAACTCACCTTGGGGTCAAGAATTAAGCCTCAACTTGAGGTTGAGGACTGGAATTTGAAGGGTGGTGTCATGGGTCTGGGGTTTGGTCTCAGATCAAGGAAGTTTGGGGCTGGAGGCGGGAGGGGGGAGGGGGAAGGGTCTTGGCTCAGCCTGGCCATGTGCACCTGCAGCTGGACAGCTCCTCGGAAGACAACCTGGACCTCCCCCACCACGGCCTGGCGGACAGCTCCGCGGACCTGAGCTGCGACAGCCGGGTCAACAGCGACTACGAGACAGATGGCGAGGGCAGCGCCTACACAGACGGGGAAGGCTACACGGATGGCGAGGGTGGGCCCCACACAGACGTGGATGAGGGGCCCCGGGTGCCAGCCCTGGCCCGGTCCTCGGAGCCCGTGCTGGGGGACGAGCCCCGGATCCCGCAGGATCATGGGAGACCCTCCGGTCCCCAGGGAGCCCAGGTGAACAAAGCATGGCGTGGTGCCAGCAAGGGTGTGGGGATGCGGCTGAGACATGCAGGAAGGCTGTCACCTCCCCCGCCCCGCACCCGCACCCCGTCCCCCTGGATGTGAAGGAACAGAAACTTCCCTGATCACATCAGTATCTCAGACCTGCTTCTAGGGTGTTTAAACCAGAGTCACTTAAAACAAATGTTTAACCTCTACATGAGTTTCCTTATCTTAGATTCAGAGATTGATGGTAGAGAGTCTTGACATCACAAGCTCATTGTTTATTTGGTTATTGCTGCTGCTTTGTTTTGTATTTTTTGACCACGAGGCTTGAGGGACCTTAGTTCCTGGACCAAGGATTGAAGCCAGGCCCCCCTGCAGTGGGAGCTCAGAGTCCTAACCACTGGACCACCAGGGAATTCCCACAAGCTTGTTGTTTAAACTGAATACTTAGTCTAGGTCCCTCCCCATTGTAGTCAGGTATTTAACAATAACAAATATTGACTGGGCACTTATTCTCTGTGGGGCTGCCTCAGCCCCCTAGGTGCTTTTCTGTGAATTCGAGAAAGTTCTCCAGACCCTCTCTAGGGTAATGTAAAAATGTACAAATCTATGATGTCGCTGGTAGAATGGTGCTGTGGGGTTGTGCAGTGCCCAACCTGTTTAACTGTCTATGGCATCCTGTTTATGAGGCAGCTCTATGCTAAGCAGTTGACGTACATGAGCTCATTTATGCACTCCTGACAACACGACTCTGAGGAATGTCACAGATGGGAAATCCAACTCTCCCTTTGTTGACAGGCTGGAAGATCTCAGCCAAGGCCTTGCCCTGTCCAAATCAATTTTCTCATTTAAAATTGGGGATGGTTTCAAGACTTCTGTGGGGACAAGGAGAAAGTTTGTGGGTAGAACTGCCTGGGCAAAGGGAGGGATGTAAGATGGGGGTGGTTACTCATCCCTATTTCTCATTCCTTGGTGGGGGTAAGTGTTAACCTTCTTTCTCCCTTTCCAAGATGGATAGCCGCCACCCACAAGGTCAACGGCGACAAGACAGCATGCGGTAAGAGTCCCTGTACTCCACATTGGGACTGTTCAACCCCCCCCCCACCCTGGGATTTTGGGGTGCTTAGAATCAAGCTGTGCCTTTGTGGTGCTACAGCCTCGTGGGTGAGATAGAGCCAGAGAAAGCCACTCCAAGCCCCATGCAGTCAAGGCCATGAAAGTAGGAATCCTCTTCCTGGGAGGATGAGAAGGCTTCCCGAAGGAGGGGACATTGGGGCTGGGGCTTTGAAGGATGTGTAGGAGTTTGAGAGTCTTGCTCATCTCTGACTACACCCACTGTGCCTAGCCCAGAGTCAACTCAGTTAACAGTAGGTAAGTCCACACCCTCCCCACCCACAACCTCTTCTATTTTCTGATCCCCAGGACATATGAGAGGGAAGCTCTGAGGAAAAAGTTTACACGAGCCAGAGATGTGGAGTCCTCTGATGAAGACGGCTACGACTGGGGACCAGCCACTGACCTGTGACCCCCTTCCAGGTGGCCAGCTGGCCTGTCCTCCTATTTCCTCCCTGGAGCTGAGACTCAAGAGTCCCATACAGAACCTAGAAACCGGCCTCCCTCCACCTGGTATTTAATAGAGTATTTTCACAGCACTGGCTTCTAGTGATTTCCTGGGATAAGGGGCCAGAGTCAGTGTTGTCTTTCCTCTATCAACCTCACAGACCCAGATCTGAGATTTTGCCCATTCAATACGCTTTTAATTTTTTACATCAGAAAATAATATAGAACCAAGAAACTTTTGGGAACTTGGCCAGCCGAGGAGGTTCCGCGGACGGAGTTCCAGGGCCGGCAGGGGCTAAGGCACAATGGTGGGGGTGAAGGTGGTCGATCACAGGTACACCGGCTGCTCCTGGCCTGTGAGCAGGCGGTAGGTGGCGGCGGGCATCGTCTTGATGTGGACCTGGGGGTGGAGAGGACGCAGAGGCTGTGGTTGGGCTCCTCCCACTAGACCCCGCCCACAATGGGCTCCTCCCATAAGACCCCCGCCCACCACATGCCCCGCCCACCTCAATGTGGGCCTCAGTGAGCAGCTCGATGATGCGAGCGTGGGGTGTGGCCACCACACTGTGCCCATTGATCTCAATGATGCGGTGTCCTACGCGGACACCCCCACGTTCAGCGATGCCACCCCGAAGGAGGCTGCAGATCTGGGGGGACAGGAAGGGCCATGCTGCTCACGGGGCTGGGATTGGGGTCACCCCACCCCCTTCCCCGGTTCCTGGGCTGGGAGCTCACGATGCCATCCTCCACGCAAAAGCCCAGCTGCTCACGGACATGCGGCCGGCGGATGATGGCCGTGGTGACCGGAGGGCAGTGGACGATGCTGAGGGTCACCAGCGTCTGCGACTTCACTTCCTGTGCAAGATGGGGGCTTGTTGGCTTGGCTGGGCCTTCACGGAGGGGGCGTGGGTGGGGTGCTGCCAGACTTCTAGTCAAACTGCAGCCTCCTGGGCCTCAGTTTATCCACTCATAAGATGGAAGCTGTAGATTCTACAAGACCTCTTGAGAAGTGGTTAAGAACGCAGACCAGGGCTGGGTGGCCTAATAGTGAGAGTGGTGTCACCTCTCATTTCCCTGGGCTTCAGTTATGGTCAAAAGTGAGGTTCTGGCAGTGCCCACAGGATAGGGTTACAGAGAGTAACACGGTATGGACTGTTGTCAGTCCTGCCCTTCTGGCCTGGCCAGGTCCCTTCCCATCTCTAGGCCTAGGTTGCCCTGTCTGGGCAACAGGAGTCAAGACTCAAGAACACCCTTGCTGCCTCGTGGCACAGAGTCAAGGCTGTCTGCATTCCATCCTGCTCTGGCACCAGCAGGGTGTCCCTGGGCTTCGCCTCTCTGAGCCTCGGTTTCCCTAAGTGCCTGGGAGCCATGTCGGGGGGGCAGAGTGGGCCTCACAGGCCCTCCACCCTGGGGCACTCACCCGGACAGCAGCCTGACAGGCGGCCAGGGGCAGCCCCACCAGGCTGGTCCCGTTGATGGCGGTGATGCGGTCGCCGATGCTGAGGGCACCTGAGCGCTCAGCGGGGCCCCCGTGCAGCAGGTTGGCAATGACAGCAGTGGGCAGCAAGGAGCCCCAGCCCGACTCCACCAGGGCCACACCTAGACCCTCGCCCCGGCGTTTCTCGATGAACACCTGCGGGGCCACGGGTGGCACTTGAGGGAAGCTTAGAAGAGATGGGAGGGATGGGGTGGGGGAGTTCTTCAGGTCCACTCGGTGGGCTGGGGTGGGGGGCCCAAGTTGCTCACCTCCCTGCAGTTTTCGCTGTTGGAGAAGTGGTCGAGGTCCCCGTTGTGGAGGTGGCCGGGGCCCATGGCCCCCTGGCTCTGCTGGGTGCCCACCTGGCTGGGGTCGATCCCACTTTCCCGCAGGAACTGACTGTAGGCCACGGCAAAGGCTTGGCCGATGGCCTGAGCGATGAGCTGGGCCTGTGGGGTGGGTAGCACCTCTCTGGGGGTCCCGCCTACCTCCTTCAGGTCCCCCACCAACACATTGATATTCCCAGAGCTGGCCTTTGTACCCCCAAGTGGGACTGCCCCCCAAGCCTCTGCCTGAGAATCTAGGGGAGGGGAAGGGAGACAGGCCTGGGGCGGGGAGGGCTTGTGGAGGTGGCTGCCAGCCTCAGTGTCTTACAGGAAGGCCAGGGATATATGACCTGGAGCCCAGAGCAGGGCGGGGATGGAAGAATGCAAGGGTGACAGAGTGGCTGGGTGGGGCTCTGGGGGAGGGCAGGGGCCCAAGCCATGCCCCCTCACCCCTAGGACACCCAGTGCCCGCTGCTCACGTCCTCTGAGTGGAAAACATGGCAGATCATCTTGTAGAGGCGGCGGCTGTGAGGCTGGGCTGCCGGCCTGTGGGCCAGGCGCCGCCGGGCCATGAGAACCAGCGTGCTGCCGATGTCAGCGATGTACGAGATGGTCTGCAGGGCGTGGTCCATCATGGCCTCCTGGCGGGAGTGGGGAGCCTGAGCCGGGTGGGCTACAGGAGCCTTGCTCGGCCCCGCCCCTTGGTGGAGCCCCCCAAGCCCCAGGGACCAGGCCCAACCCGGTACCTGGGAGTCGGTCAGCAGGACTTTGATCCTCTTGGTGGAGACAAACAGGTCCACCTCCGTCATGGGCTGAGTCTCCCCATCGGGGGCCTGTGGGGAGCAGGGTGGGGCATGGAGACCCCCAGAGACCCAGACTCTGACCCACCAGGCTCAGGGAGTCTCGGAGGAGCCTGCCCGCCCGCCCATCTGCCCGCCAGCCCAGGGCTTCACCTTGACACGGTCCATAGCCTCCTGGGCCTGCGCCATGCGCGTGCTGGGGGGTGGGTTCCGCTCAGACACCAGCTGGGTGGAGCCCAGGTACTTGGCCCCAAATATGACACCGTCTAGGAGGTCTTCATGGTCGCAGGGGCCGGATACTGAGGGTGACAACAGAGGTGGGTCAGCCCCCTAGAACCCCTGCCAGCTTCATCCACCCCATGGGCTCTTCCCAGAGTCCTGGATGGTCTGGAAACACAAAGTTCTGCTCTGCGGCTCAGCACCTGGAGCCACACCGGTCCACCCACTCTGGGGTCCCAGAGCCATTCCATCAGCCAGAGCCATGGACCAGAGGCTCGACCCTCATAGATGGAAAGCCCTCCGTCCATCTACAGCCTGGTCTGCCCAGGGAGCAAGGACTCCCGGGCTAAGCACGCAGTTTCAGGAGCAGGCTGTGGGTCTAGAACCATGGCCAGACCCAAAAACAGCTCTAGTGCCCATAGATGCCTCCACCCTGTTTCTGGAATTCCAGGAATCAGGCTTGAACCAGACAGCCTCACTCTTATGTCTAAGATATGTGACATTCTAGAACCATGGTCAACTCCGCTGGATGGTTCAGGAATCCCAATCAATCTAGAAACAATTAGGTATGCCCACTGTTATAGAATTCTCTCCAATCAGCCTATGACCATAGACAGCTCAACTCCATGGTCATAGAACTGTGTAGAATACAAAGAGGCAACTGTCCACATAACTCAAACTCTCATTCTATCGAGAACCCCAGGGGCTCCTGATCCATGAGTATAGAACTCCCTGACAGGTTTCAAACCACAGAATTCTGCCAGGGATTCTAGAAACCTAGAATCAGATTTCTCCACTCTATGATTCCAGAACTTCTTAATCAAGATAGCACTGGGGGGACTTTCCCTGGTGGTCCAGTGGCTAAGACTCCATGCTCCCAATGCAGGGGGCCCTGGTTTGATCCCTGGTCAGGCAACTAGATCTCATATGCTGAAACTAAAGATCCCACATGCTGCAATGAAGACTTGGTGCAGCCAAATAAATAAACAATTTTAAAAACAGGTAGCATCCAGAAGCTCTTCCAATGGTTCTACAATCCCCACAACGATTCACAACTGCAGGTACACCTGGAAATTCTAAGAATGATCTGAACAGTCCAGAAACAAACAACTCTGCTCATAGTTCTAGAACCCCCCAACCCAGCCCAGAACCTCAAAAAGCTTTGCCCACATGGCTCTAGAATTTCCTGAGTAACCTAGAGGCAGACAGGAGTGCCCAGTGATTCTAGAGTATTCTAACCAATAGCTATTGTTTTTTTTGGAGAACCACAGATGTAGGCCCTAGGGAATGAAACCACACCCCCGTGAACTTAAAGGATAGCCAGTTCTGTCCTATTGTCCTTCATGAGCTCAGCATTCCTGGACAGCAGACAACTCTGCTCTGGGGTTTCAGAGATGAACCATCCAATATGGTAGCCACCTGGCACAGGTAGGCGTTGCGCAATTGAAATGCAGCTGGTTTGGACTGAGACATGCTCTAAGTGTAAAATGTGACACTGGATTTTGAAACTCTCATATTAAAAAAAATAATTATTAAATGTTAATTGTACATTGAAATAACATTTTAAATATGTTGGGTTAACTTTAAAGTTAATTTTTTCCAGTAGTCATGTATGGATGTGAGAATTGGGCCATAAAAAAGGCTGAGCCCTGAAGAATTGATGCCTTTGAACTGTGGTGTAGGAGGACTTTTGAGAGTCTCTTGGACAGCAAGGAGATCAAACCAGTCAATCCTAAAGGAAATCAACCCTGAATATTCATTGGAAGGACTGATGCTGAAGTTGAAGCTCCAATACTTTGGCCACCTGATGTCAAGAGCCGATGCATTTGAAAAGAACCCAATGCTGGGAAAGATTGAGGGCAACAGGAAAAGGGGGTGACAGAGGATGAGATGGTTGGATGGCATCACTGACTCAATGGACATGAGTTTGAGTGAACTCTGGGAGATAGTGAAGGACAGGGAAGCCTGGCATGCTGCAGTCTATGGGGTCGCAAACAGTTGGATATGACTTAGTGACTGAACAATAACAAAGTTAATTTTGAGTGGTTTTTTAATGTGGTTAACTAAGAAATTTCAAGTGATATGTGGCTGGAATTGTATTTCTGCTGTATAGCTCTAGAACTTTCTGACGACTCTAGAACTGGACAGCCCTGCCCAGTTCTAACAGAGTTCCTAATGGTCTAGAAACCAGAGATAAATTCTATTCGCTCCATGGTTCTAGACTGCTCAGTTGGGAGAACTGGACAGCTCTGCTCATCATTCCAAAACGCCCTCAGCAGCCCAGGTCACATTTAACCACAGGCAAAATGCCAGGTTCTGGAACTTGCTAGGTGAATCTAGCTCCATGACTTTAGAACCTTCTTGGAACTACAAGTCCAAACTAGCACCCTTTCCCATGATTATAGAACTTGTCCTTTGACCTAGAGCCTCAGGCAGCATGGGGGGAGAATATTCTTGAATATTCCAGGTGGCCAGAACAGTACTTCTCATGCCTTGAGGGCGGACTGGCAAACTGTTCTGCAAAAGGCCAAACAGTAATTATTTTTCCTACGGTCTCTGATGCAACTACTCAACCTGGCCTGTGGTAACAGGAAGGCTGCCACAGACAACACTTGAATGAATGGGCTTGAGTTTGTCCTGATAAAACTTTATTTGTGGATACTGAAACTTGAATTGCCCATCATTTTCACCCATCAAGAAATACTTTCAAAAAAAAAAAAAAAACAAGAAAAAAAAAAAGAAACACTTTCAATTTTTTTCAACCATTTAAAAATGCAGAAGCCATCTTAGCTCACCAGACATAGCAGAAGGGCCATGGGCAGTAATGTGCCAACTCTTGCTCTAGAATCAAGTGCTACAATTTGCCAAGACTGCCCTATTCATTCCAGAACATTCTCAAGACTGTCTCTCTTCTCCCAGGTATACAGAATCTATTCAAAACCAACCTCAGGGCCTCTCTAGAAGCCACTCCTCACAGGCTAACTTTGTGCCAAATTTTGGGAACTCGGGTCGGGCTGTTCTGAAACCCCTGAGCCCCTGGGGCCAGGGCGGGACACTCACCCTCCTGGAGGGCAGGGTAGGAAGCCAGGGTCTTGGGTCTCTGGAAGAAGAGAGAAGAGGGGCAGGCCTGAGTCCTCCTGCCTGGCCCCCAACAGTGGAGGCCTGGGGGGAGGGGTGAGCTCTACCTGGACACTGGTAGGTGGCTCCTCAGGAGTGACCAGAGGTGAGGTCTCCAGCCAGGGTTCCGGGGAGCTGTTGGAGCTCCTGTCCTCATCCCGCTCAGCAGAGGCTCCCTCCGTCCACTCCTGGGGGCCCGTGTCCTCTTCCGGGTCCCCAGGGGGCTGCAACAGGCGAGGAGCAGGGTCCGGAGGAAGTTCCTGGGGACCCGGCACGGAAGGAGGGCCCTCATCTTGTTGCAAGAGACTCAGCAAGTCTTCCCGATCAGCCTCAGCAGACAAGAGCCCATGGGCATCAACCATGTCCTGCGGGGCCAGGCCATGGCCGGTGGCAATGTGCAGGGGGCACGGGGATCCATCTGGGGACAGGCCCACCAGGTCACCTGGCAGAGCTTCAAACTGTTGCACCAGATCCTGAATATTTAGCCCATCAAGTTCCATCTGACTCAGGCTGCCAGAGCCTCCTGGTGTGGGGTCCCACTGGCAATCACAGGTGAGGTCCTGAGAGGGCAAAAGTGTGTCCCTGGGCTCTTCCAAGTCCATGGCTGGAGGTCCTGGAGGGGGTTGGGAGGCTGTCAGGAATTCCATGCCTGGACCCTGGGCTCAAGCCAGCATCTGAAAGGGAGATTCAAAAATTAGATTTTCTGGGCTTCCCTAGTGGCTCAGTGGTAAAGAATCAGCCTGTCAATGCAGGAGACATGGGTTTCGATCCCCGATCTGGGAGGATCCCACATGCCATGGAGTAACTGAGCCCAGTGGACCACAGCTATCGAGTCTGTGCTCTACAGCCTGGGAGCCACGACTGCTGGAGCCCCTGCGTTGTTCAGCCCAAGCCACCACAGTGAGAAGCCCATGCACCTCGGCTCAAGAGCAGCCCTTACTCTACACCACTAGAGAAAAGTCCATGCAGTAATGAAGACCCACAGCACAATAAAAAAAAAAAGATGAGATTTTTCAGCTGCCAACTTGGTACTAGGATCTAGCCTGGTAAATGTTCATAAAGAACACATAATTTAATCCCCACCATACCCTGCAAGGAAGATTCTGCCATGATCCTCATTTTACAGGGGAGGAAGTCGAGGTGTAGAATCAGCAGTTGTAAGGCAGTGGCTTCCTGAGCTCCAAACCCCAGGGGATTCTCCTGTGCCCGTCTCCCCAGACCTTCCCCTCCCACCCGTGAAGCCCGTACACCCCAGCCCTGGTTCTCCCAAGTGTTCTTTCCCCGGGATGTGCGACCGAGGCTGGAGACACACTTTGACTACACAGACCCGACAGGTGTAGGTCCCCGATAGCCAGGGATTCAAGACCTCAGTCCAAGACTTCAGATCCAGAACTTCAGACTAAATACTAGAGTTCCAAGATGCCAGAAAGCAGACTCACCTCAAAACCTCCAATGCCACATTCAAGATCAACCCCAGACTCAGACCTGGACCTCAGACCCAGCCTGAAGACACAAACTTGAGCCTAAAGCTGAGAGTTAAGACCCGAGTCCTCTCGAGGACCCCAGATTCAAGACTTCAGACCCGTGACCTCAGATGCTGGCTCCAGACCTCTCTATGCCCCGCCGGGACACTCACTTACCAAACCGAGGTGGTCTCAACCCGAGGGCCGCCGAGACCCCGCAGCTGAGCTGGTACGGGGCTTTCAGTGACCGCCGCCTGCCAATTCCTGCCAATTCCTGCCAATTCCGCCGCCGCTTCCAGATCCGCGCAGCGTTCCTGGATCACTGGGCATGCGCATTCCCCCCGGGCTTGCTGGGAAATGTAGTTCTTGCAGACAACCTCGCCCGCGCAGGGGCTCCAGGTAGGTGAACCACGAGTTCGAATTCCAAGCCTTCATTTACTCGGCGTGAAAGCTCCGACAGGCTTCTGAGCCTATTTCCTCAACTGCAAAGTGCGGTTAAAAATCACTGCTTGACTGCTACCTTTTTGGTCATTATTCTAAGGGATAGCAGATGGGAAGAAATAGGACTGGAAAAATACTAAAGCCTCATGAGAGATAGACTTTCTCACTGCAGGGGTGCCAAAATCGGCGCGGGGAACAGATTGCACACAGGCTTTCGGCTTGGCGGAATGGCTCGGTTATGCTTAACTTTATTTCCCTGAGCTTCCGGTTTCCTCAGTTGTAAACTGGGGATAATAGTGCATGCGTGCGTGCTCAATTGCTGAGTTGTGTTTGACTGCGACCCTATGGACTCTAGCTGGCCAGGCTCCTCTGTTCATGGGATTTCCCAGGCGAGAATACTGGAATGGGTTGCCATTTCCTTCTCTAGGGATCTTCCTGACGAACCCGCGTCTCCTGGGTTGGCAGGCCGGTTCTTCACGGCTGAGCCACCAGGGAAGCCCACACCTACCTCCTAATTAAACGAAATCGAGCTGGGTGCAGATTTAGCAGTAGGGCTGGAAAATATCGGGTCTAGTAAGTGTTAGCTTTTATTACTTCTAGGTTTTCAGAAATTTAGCTACTGAGAAGAACCCAGTGTCAGAACCTGGAGAAATATTTCACTTTGAAAAGTTGACTTAAACGTACTTATTTTTCTCTTGTGTAGACCTGCTTTGTGGGAAATTAATTGGCTTAGGATAGCCAAACCCTTATTTATCACCTGTTCCATGTGATGACTTTCGAAAGTTTGAGGGCCATTGGCTACATGGGTATAACGTTCAGGGTGGTAGGACTTTTTAATGTAATGCTAACAAGTTTTCTCCCCGCTGATCCCCGAGCCTTTATTTTAGTTTTTAAACGCCATATGTAATCTGTGGTCCACAAAATTGGGAGCGAGAGACCTGAAACAGACCTGCTATAAATTTAACGGATACATAATCCCCTATCCAAGGCTTCCCAGGTGGCGCTAGTAGTAGAGAATCCGCTTGCCAATGCAAGAGACCCAGGTTTGATCCCTGGGTTTAGGAAGGTGCCCTAGAGAAGGAAATACTCCGGTATTCGTGCTTGGGAAAAAAATCCCATTTTTTTCCACTCCCAGACAGAGGAGCCTGGTGGACTACAGTCCCTGGGGTCGCAGAGTTGGACCTGATCGAGCACATACAGTTGCTTGTTGAATACAATCAGGAATGTATAAAAGTGTGATAAGTAAGTGATATAACTGAAGGGCAAGAGGTCAATGAAACATCCTTTGAAAGTCGCTTCTTCCCCTAACTAGGGATAGTTATAAAAGTTTAAAGAAATCACAATAAAGATATGCCTACCGCTGGAATACTACATTTCCCATAAATCTCTAGGGGCCTACAACCCCCAATCCCTCGGCCGCTGACGTCTTCCGGAAACGTGCACGTGCACGCTGCCAGCATACGTCATGGCGGCTAGACTCCTCTTCGGTGCTACCCGGAGCTGGGCCGGCTGGCGGGCCTGGGAGCTTCCGGGCGCCGCGGCTTCTGTAAGACTACATGTACGCGATTATGCCAAGAGACCGGGTAAGCTGGCTTAAGAGAGACCAAAATGGGAATAGTGGGGACATTAGGGAGTTCGTAGTGCGCAAGCGCTAGTCGGGAGACGCATCCTAGCGCGCAAGCGTAGAGGCATCTAAGCGCGGCTGTTTGCGCAGGCGCAGTGTGAGGTAACTAGGGTGCGGTTGGACTCTGTGCGCAGGCACAAGGTTGGTGTGTGTGTGTGTTTTTGCGGGTGGATGGGGGAGTGGTTAGGGGAAGAACTTGAACTTGGGTCCCTAGCACGTTTCTGCGTCCGCAGGAGTCACCTTTTTAGCAAATTACCACCAGAAATTCGGGCCATGTGGGCATCTAAGTATTAAAGCCAAAACAAGATTTAAATTTTTTCTGGATGCAGCGTTGCCTGATCTCCCTTGTTGAAAGGAGAGACTTGGCAAACGAAACATGAGGTTTTAAAGACACACGGCAGCCGGCGGAGATTTTCTTCGTGAGATAAACAGAAGGAATGAAAATGGAATTGAAAAGGAATGAACTTAGTTCCTGTGAATAGCAGTGTCATTTAATGCAGTGCCCGTGTCCCAGTTAAAATCGTTTTGAGAACAGTACACAGGGTACAGCTGCAGCAGAAAGGGAAGGCTGGCCTCCCGAGGGTGTAGCTGGGCTGACATAACTCTCCTCCACCGCAGTTTTTAAGGGCGGCAAAAGCGGCAAAGGTGCTGCGGTGGGAGAGACCCTGAAAGACCCCGAGGTGTGTACAGACCCCGTCCGGCTCACAACGCACGCCATGGGTGTCAGCATCTACAAGGAGGGCCAGGATGTGGTCCTGAAGCCGGATTCCGAGTACCCCGAGTGGTGAGTGGGTCAGGACTGAGTGAGGAGGGCCTAGTGGATCCCATCTGAGATTTCAGGAGGGCTTCCCTGGGGAGTTGGTGGGTAAGTTAAGACCTGAGTGGATGGCCAGAGCTTCAGAGGCAGGTGGGAACAGCCAGTGCAAAGGCCCTGTGCACAACTGTACCTGGTTTGTATGTGGATAGCAAGGGGCAAGGTGGAGGGTAGGGGAAGACAGGGAGGAACCTGGTGGAGCCTGGCTGTCGGGAGCTGCAGGGGTAATTTTGCTCTTGGCTCTGTGAGCAGTGGCAGGATGCGGAAGCCATCACCCATGTGCCCATCCTTTAAACTGGGTAAGGTTTAGAAAGGTTGAGTGAGGGGGTGGGGAGGCCTTACAGGCGGGCAGCGCAGCACAGACGATGGCCAGGAGGCAGAAGGCTTGGCGTGTGCCTACTTCAGATCCCAGGGCCACTGGGATGGGGGTGCCCCCTGTTCCACAGTCCAGGAGCTGGCTCATGGTGGGGAGGGACTGCCCTGAGGTCAGCTGGCCACCAAGGGACCTGGTACTGCTGCAGCCTGTGCCCAAGGTGTCTGGGATGGGGTAGGGGAGCCATGGGGAAGGGGGCTGCTCTGTAACCCCGACTCCCACCCACTTCCCATCAGGCTGTTCCAGATGAATGTGGGCCCCCCCAAGAAGCTGGAGGAGCTGGACCCGGAGACCCGGGAGTACTGGCGGCTGCTCCGGAAACACAACATCTGGCGCCACAACCGGCTGAGCAAGAACCAGAAGTTCTAGCGGGGGAGGGCCAGAGCTCTCTAAAAGGACACTGACCCTCCAAGGACCTGGAGGAGACAGGACAGATTGCGAGGTGGGGGGGAGTTGGTACCTCCCCCAGCCTGCCCCCAGGACTTTTTATTTTCTGGAGAAGCAGACGTTTCTGAGAACAGAGGAGAATCCCCCCTCACTGGGGTTGCCCCCAGAGTGAGACTGAATCAGGGCCCTGGGAGCTAATAAAGCCTTCTGGGGGCAATTATTGGCAGGCCCCGGATGTCGCTGAGTGTCCTGTGATATTGGGGTCAGGAGGGACTTAGGACAGGCAGTGGGGGGCTGAGCACTTCAGGCCCAGTGGTTCCATGGCCCAGCCTTCACCCTCAGTGATTGCTGGGGACCTGCAGGTCCATCTTCACCTCCCAGCCTCCTTGAGCTTCTCACCCTGATTCCTGGAATTCCTAGCATTGCCCAAGAGGCCCCAACCTCTGTCCTCGAGGGGGAGATTTTTTGAGCCAAGCTTCCCTGGATTGCAGTGGACTTGGATTCATACCTAAGCCACATCATCCAGAGCAGAAGAGTCTTTGTGAGCTTCAGGAATGGAAATGTCCAGGGCTAGGCATGGCTGGATCCAGGTGCTTCAGCATTCAGCTATGAGGTGCTCTCCATCTCTGGGTCCTTTTAACTCCAGTGGGTAGGTCCTTTTACCCCTTGGGTAGGGGTTTCTCCAGGACTTCTGACTGACACCCCATACCCAGTTCAGCAAACGCAGCCAGAGGGAAGGGACTTCTCTTTCTTTTCTGCCAGGGTCACAGAGGTTATCTTTGTTGGCCAGTCACTTGAGCCAAGGAACCTGGGCCTACCCACCATCCTTCTGTCCAACCCACTGGTGCCCACCAGCTTAGAGGAGGCTGAAGGACACGCACACACGGTGCCCGGGCCCACTCCCAGTGGTACAGCCATGCCCCCTCCTGGGTAGATATCTGGGTTTGGGGCGGCACACGCTGCTTAGGGGGCTGGACCAGGGCTCTCTCACCCTCCAAACTCCTCCAGAGCTGGGCGGGTGGGGCAGGGCAGGGTCCCTGAGGCTAATTCTGTCTGGTCCCAGGAAAACGAGAGCCCTCATCCTCTTAGAAGGACTCTGCCAAGCGGATTACCGCTCACCTGCCCTCCCTGCAGCCCGCGCTGAGCAGGCGCATCATCCCAACCATCCCGCGCAGGTCCCCACAGCTGAGTGAAAACCCAAGTTGTAATGGCCACAGGCTTCCTGGCTGCTCCTCCAACACGGCAGGCGTGGTGCTCTCCTGGGCCTCTCCCTGCCCCCAACATGTCCTCAAGGCGCCCTCTTTACCTCCAGACCTTTGTTCTGATGGTGCTGACCACCATATTAAACTGCCGCCCTGCCACATGCTCCTGATCGCCCCTCCTGGCTTTATTTTTCTCCCAAGCACTTAACCACCAGCAGGTGTTTCATGTTTTACTTATTTATTTTTAAAATTAGGGCTCTGGTCTCTCTCCCACTGGAGTGGCAGCTCCAGGAGGGCAGGGGTTTTTCTCTGCTTTGTTCACTGTTGTGTCCTCATTGTAAGTTGGAACGGGTGGATGAGTGATTGGGATGGTTGGCCTGGCTGCTGCAGTGTGAACAGCACAGGGGCCCTAGGGTTCACGTGGAGGTGCCCTCTCAGATGGGAGGTGAGCAGGCCAGCTGATAGCTGCCTGGGAGCGACATTCCTGGAATTTCCTAGCACCTGTGGTCACTTCCTGGCCAGAGCCTCGAGCGAGTGGGGTGCTGCCACGTCCCCCGCACCATACACTCTCCTGTCCTGACTCGTCCCATCCCACAGGGAGGTGCCCTGACATGTGGCACTTGGGCCACACACCCCCAGCCCAGCCAGCCTCCTTGTCCTGGAGTCCAGCTGAACCCCGGCAGGGGTGGCCATCATGCCTTCGTGAACCCTGGGGTAGGACACAGCAAATGCTTGTCTTGCTACCAGGGCCCCAGCCCCGCCTCAGTGGGCTGGGAGATGTGATGGGGGCTGTGGTTGATGGGGAGACAAGCCACACTCATAATGGGGGAGCAAAGATCGACTGTTCACCCAGTGTCAGCTGCTTCTACCTGGGAGCGCCCTGTTAGTGCCCAGCCTGGGTCCTAGGTGCCTGGGGTGATGGAGTCAGGCAATGAGCTTAAAAAGAGCTCCACCCCCTACCGGCTCTGTGGCCTCAGGAAACTGGCTATCCCTCTCTTGGCCTCAGTTTCTTCCCCTGTAACATGGGGCTGATGGCCATGCCACCTTGGGGTAAAGTGATGGGCATGCTGTAAGCACACAGTCAAAGGGGGCAGTTGAATGTGAACTGCTGCAGCTGTTACTTGTTACCTCTCAGGGCGGCCCTACTGTTGAAAAATTAGGAGCAGGCAGAAGGATTTAGAATCATCAACTCAGAATTAACATCCCTGTGGCTCCTGGTTACAGCCTTAGAGTCTTAAGAACCTCAGAATCCACCCCCACACACACCCATTTGACTGATGGGGAGACTGAAGCCCCAAGAGGGCACCAGCTCCCTGGAGACCATGCCAGGGACCCCCACCCTGGCTGGGCACCTCTGGCTGCCACCTTTAAGTCAGGTGCCAGTTAACCCTGCAAGGCAGGGTAAGTAGGTGGTGGTGGGTGGAGGACTTGGTGTGGGTGGCCATGGACAGGCTGAGCAGGAGGGGCTAGGCGGGCACCAGGCTCAGGCTGACGGCCAGGCCCTGTCCAGAGCCTGCACGTGCTCCTTGGCCAGCAGCCGCAGGGAACCTTCTTCCAGGGTGAAGCCGTCCATGAAGGCTGGACTGAAGGCGTGGGGCCCAAAGGAGCCCTGCAACCCTGGGCCCGAGCCCAGGAGGCGTGGGAGGGCTGGCACAGCTGGGGGCCCTGGGCCCAGCCAGGGCTCCAAGGACAGTGGCATGGTGGGAGGGCGGGCAAAGGGCAGTGCTGGGGCTTCGGGGAGTCTTGGGGCTGCCACGGCCCCGGAGCCTGACTCCAGACGCTCCTGGCGGCGCCACTTGGCCCGGCGGTTCTGGAACCACACCTGGAGGCAGCAAGAGGTGCTCCCATGTCAGAGGTGGCTGGCGGGTGCCAGGCAAGGCCGCTCTCCCTCTCTGGGCCTCCCAGCCCCTCAGCGTTCTGCCTGCTGTCTGACCTGATTCCTACCCCTTGCGATGCCAACATTACCTACCCCGAGGAGAAGGCTGTTCTGAGAGCAAGATCTTTGCCTCTTGGCCCCCATTAGATCATTACTGAAGCCTTCTGAGTCCAGGTTCTCCTTGCCTTTCCCTTTGTCCAGGCCCCCTCAGGCTCCTCAACCTCCTGCCTGGTCAACCTTGGGTCTCAACATGAAGTTCCAGCCACTGAGTTTGGCATTTGAGGGGCTTCACTAGCTTTCTCTGCCTCCCCTTCCACCCACCTCAACACGGAGCTCAGTAGAAATGCCTCCAATTTAACTCCTGCACACCTTTGCACTATTGTTCTGGATGCCTAGAAAAATGCCCTTTCTCCTTGCTAGCTGGCACACTCCTACTCAAACGTCAAGGCCCCAGTCGCACGTCCCCTCCTCTGGGAAGCCTTGCGTTGCCCTGGGAGGGTCCGTCTCTGGCACCAGCTGCCTCGGGGCGGTTGGGGGTAACCCTCACCTGCACACGCACCTCGGGCAGGTGCACCTTGGCTGCCAACTCCTCACGGCTGTAAACATCCGGGTAGTGGGAGGCCTCGAACGCCCGCTCCAGCTGGTGCAGCTGGTAGGTGGTAAAGGTTGTGCGGTTCCTCCGGTGCTTCTTCTTGGGGGCCTCGTCTCCGGGCCCTGGCCCCCCACCCTCCGCCGCTGGCCCCTCACCTGGGCTCAGGAACATGGCTCCTCTTTGCCCCCACCTGGCGGGAAGGCAGCAGGACAGATGGCGGTGAGACAGGGGAGGGACCCCCCCGCCCCTTGACGGATCTGGGGTCAGATATGGAGGGGCTTCTCCCTCCACTGGGTCCGGCGTTCCCTCTGCCTCTCTGTGCATCTCAGGTGACCTCCCTCTGACTCCACTTCCTCCTCTCTGATGATTTTTCTGTCTCTGCCTCTATTTCTCTTTCCCTCTGCAGCTCCCTGTCTCTTTTGTCTCTGTGTCTGTGACCCCCAGGAAGGCAGGATCTGGGCCACTGCCCTAAGGAACACTTCCTTAGCCCCCAGCTCTCCGCCCTGGCTGGCTGGCTGTGCTCCCACCTCCCACCCAGGCCCACCTGTGCCCACCTCCCAGTGCTCACTGCTCCCGGCAGCCCCTCCAGCAGCCCCCGTGGGCCCAGTGCTGTCTGCTGCTGGCCTGGCCTATCCAGACCTGAGGGGGTTGGGGTCGGGCGGGGAGGAGGATTAGCGAGGTGATTAATTGAGGGGGCCCCTCCCGCCCAGGCGCTGGTTGCTCCGAGCCACAGAGGGAGTGCCGGGCAGCAGGACACCGTTAGCCTGGGTCTGCCACACCTTGCTCTAGAATGTAAACAAGAGCCTCCCCCTCCCTGGGCCTCAGTTTCCCAGCTATAAAGTGTCAGCAACAGGACTTCCTACCCTGTGGGACTCTCACAGGGACTCAGTGAGCTGATGAAAGAGTACATTGATGGAAAGATATACAGTGATTGGCCAACGGTGAGAGCTTAGTGAGCACTCACTAAATCAGCCACTGTCAACTGCTTTTGTTATCATCTGGAGTGAGAAAAGAACCTCTCAGATTCACACATGTCAAGGGGAGTTGGGGAAGCTGAAGTCCCCAGAGGTGAAGGTAATTCCAGTCGGTTCCCCTGGGCACTATCCAGGGCAAAGGAGTATGGGGCATTTTAGCTGTGTTTTGAAGTATGAATAGAAGCTCACTTTTCAGTCGCTCAATAAACATTTAAGCGCAATAAACATTTGCGCTTACTGAATACCAGGTACTGTTCACAGCAGGGAACAAACCACAGACACACTTCTTGGAGCTGGCATCCTGCTGGGGGAGACTGATAATCCATAACTAAGTAAGTAAAATACAGCATGTCAGGGGGTAGAAACCTGGTAGGAAAACGCAAGCAGGGGAGGGAGGGTTGTTCTTTTAAGGAAGGTGAGTAGAATGGGGGATGGAGTGTGAGGGTGTAAATTCTGGACAAGACTGGGTGTGAACAGGGTACTGGGGAGCCATGGAAGGTTGTGGAGCATGAGAGGGGCATAGGTGGCATTTTGGATGAGTGTTATGGGCAAGATGGGAGGCCAGGAGAAGACTAGAGGCCTGGTCAGGGCTAGATTTGGGGGGAGGGGGACAGGAGAGTAATTCTGGGGGGAAGGGGGACTTCCCTGGTATCCAGTGGCTAAGACTCTGCACCCCCAATGCAGGGGGCCTGGGTTGGATCCCTGGTCAGGGAACTAGATCCCACATGTCTCAACTAAGACCTGGTGCAGCCAAGTAAATAAAAATATTTTTAAAAGTTCTGGGGAGAGAAAGTCTGAGGACGGAAGAAGACCGGTGAACCCAGTCCCTGTCTGGGGACAAGTGAGTGATGGGACTGTCCCTCCGGCGGTGGCCTGAGCACCAAGGAGGACCTCGGTGATACCCTGAGACTGGATGGTCAACCCCCTGCCCAATCTAAGGAGCTTGGGGGTGCTCTGGCAAGGGGTGCCCTGAAAACAGGAGGGGCCCTGGGGGTGACGGGGGGCAAAAGGAGGCCCAGAAGGAGGACGGGAGGGATGGAGGGAGGTAGGTTGTCTCAGTGGAGTGAGGCTGGAGACCCAGACCCGTGGATGGACCAGAGAGTGAGTGCAAGAGGAAGCAGAGCTAAGTCCTTCCAGAATGCTGGCTTTGTAGGGGGATGACACACACAGAGATAGGGAGGCGGTGCTCACACGTGCATGTGTGCACAGTCGGACACTCACAGCACCGAGGTGCAGGCCCTGGAGTGCTGGCAGGGCCAAATGGCCTCAGAGGAGGAGGGGGTCTGGGTGGGCAGAGGGCTTAGCACCCAAGGGGTCAGCCGGACAGGGAGGTTCCAGGCGCTCTGAGTCCAGGCTGGAGGGGCGCTGAGTGAGGCCCCTCCAGGCCTCAGTGGCCCCGTCTTTGAGATGGGCTGGGGCATTATGGTAGGGGGAGCCAGGCCTCACGAGAGGGGGAGTGGAGGTGGGGGGAGGTAATCCCCCTAATTGCTTCATCACTTTAAAACGCTAATGAGCTGCTCTGTTCTCAGCCCCCAATTAGCTAATTGGCCCCAGTGGGTTAAGAGGTGCAGGAGGGATCGGGGTGTTAGGGGCGGGGCGGTGGGGGGGGGGCGGCTGGGCGCTGCTTTGGCGACTTAGCCAGCAGCTGCCGGCCCAGACGCTGTGTCAGCTTAGAGGGCTGGATTAGGGGTGGGCAGGGTGGTGTGGGGCCACAGTGACAGGCGGCCTTCTCCAGCTGGATTGGGTCGGGGGAGTGGGCAGGCCACTGTCAGCCTCTCTGGACTCCCATCCTGCATTTCTCCCCCAGGAAGAATCACTAATCCCCTTCAGGTGCTGGTGGGGAAATTGAGGCCAGAGAGTGGGTGGGGCTCCGGTGGGTGGCGAATTGCAGGAGGCCAGTGTGACCTTGAGAGAAGGCAATGGCACCCCACTCAGTACTCTTGCCTGGAAAATCCCATGGATGGAGGAGCCTGGTAGGCTGCAGTCCATGGGGCGGCGAAGAGTCAGACACGACTGAGCGACTTCACTTTCACTTTTCACTTTCATGCACTGGAGAAGGAAATGGCAGCCCACTCCAGTATTCTTGCCTGGAGAATTCCAGGGATCGGAGCCTGGTGGGCTGCCGTCTATGGGGTCACACAGAGTTGGACACGACTGATGTGACTTAGCAGCAGCAGCAGCAGTGTGACCTTGAGACATATGAACAGCTCAACTTGGGCAGGGGTGGGCCAGTGGAGGTGGGAGGCCATGCCGTGGCCTGGGATCCCTGCACCGGCTCAGGGGTTCCTGGGGTGGGGGCCACACCCCACAGGCCAGACACTTCTCTCCAGGCAACCTTGAAGCATCTGGGAGTGTCATCGGAGAGGGGGTGGTTGACAGTCGTGGTAACAACTGAGCACCAGCTATGTGCACTCAGCCCCCGGGGTCCTCATGGCTCCTCCAGAAGACGCCTGATCACAGAGGAGGCTGCAGGGGTGGGGCAGGGAGGGAGACCACCCCCCCGTTTCCCTGGGACACCCCGGGTTTAGCACCAACACCCCCATCCCAGACACACCCTCAGTTTGAGGTGCTGGGTCACGGTGAGCCCGGGCCACAGAGTGGTGGAGTCAGGATTTGAACCTGGGGTGCAAGCCAGGAGCCCCAGCCCCCGCTGGAGAATGGACAGGGCCCTGGGACAGGTCGTGCAGCTGGCTTTTCCTAATGAGTGTTCCCCAGAGTCACTGGGTGAGGCTGTTGGGGGGTGACAGGTGGAGGACATAACCACCCTGGAGCGCCCCAGGAGGGGACGCTGCTACCCTCGCAGCCCCCCTCCCCCATCCGGGCTTCCATTTGCTGTCTCAAAGGGAAAGGTGGGGGAGGAGAGGTGCCAGACAGGGGCTCAGACCCCCACGGCCCCTGGAACTCCCCCACGGTCCTTGGCACCCGGGACCCCGAGGGCTACAGCAGGAGACGGGGGGCCTGCAGGTGATGGCAAGTGGATCCTTGGGTGGCTGTGGCCCTGGCCTGGAGGGTCTCCTGGCTGGCATACCCAGGGAAACATGTGCCCTCAGGGGCAGCAAGCTCCCAGCCAGGTGGCCCCCCAGTGGGCAGACCAGCGGGCAGGCAGATGGCTCCCAGGCTGAGTGACGGGCCCCAGGGTGGACACAAGGGGCAGCAGAGAAACACTCAGACACCCATTTCTTGGAACCAGTCTTTATCCAGGCGCTAATCCTTCGCCTCCTGGGGTCGAGGTGCCCATGGACTTCCTGGAGCCCCCGGCATGGGCCTGCCCCTGTGGTGCGAGCCGGGCAGGCAGCTCACCGGCCCTGCCTCTCTTCAGGCCTGGTCCGCATCCCCACCCTGAGCCCCCCACTCTCTTAGTCCTCTGGGGCCTGAAGCCCCGTGGGCAGGGTTAGGGCTCCTGGCTGCGGGGCAGGGCGGGACCGTCCGTATCCTGTCCCCCATTGGGAGCTGAAGCACCCGCGCTGCGTAGCTCCCGGGCCAGCTTCTCAGCCAGTTTGCGGAAGGGCGGCCGGCGAGTGGGTTCAGCCTCCCAGCAGCTGCCCATGAGGGCATGGATGGACCCAGGGCAGCCTTCGGGGGGCTCCATGCGGTACCCCTTCTCCACGGCCTCTGACACCTCCTTCAGTGACTGCGGGCAGAGGCCACTCCAGTGTGGGCTGGGGGTCAGGATCACGACCCCCTAGACCGGCAGGGGACCCAGCACCTCCCCGCCCGGCCCCTCGACCCTGCTTACCATCTTGGGGTATGGAGCCCGGCCGTATGAGAAGACCTCCCATAGCAGCACCCCAAAGCTCCAGACATCCGACTTGCTGGAGAACTTCTGTGGGGCCCGAGATCAGGATGAGAGGGACCTCTCAGGGCTTCTGCTCCAGCTCCTGCTTCCTCCAGGAAGTCCCCCTGGGTTGACCTTCACTCTGTAGTCTCCTCCCAATAGACTCCTGCCTCTGAATCCTCCTACCCCTCAACCCAGACTCAGTGCAAAAACAAGGTGTTTCTTGCTGTCACTCGCTGAGCCCAAGACTGTTGCAGAAACGAGGAGACAAAGGCTCAGAGAAGAGCTAAAAGGAACAATTAGTGGCCAAGGGTTTACAGGGGAGGTGAAGCCATTCTTTTGGAGGTTCAGAGGCCAGAGACATGCCCCGGGGCTCATAGTGGAACTAGGGTTCCCAGGGCCCTGGGGGTAAGGGGGGCTCACCCCGTGCTTGAGAGCCTCGGGTGCTGTCCACTTGACGGGCAGCCGGCTGGAGTCCAGCCCCTTCCGCTCAGCTTTGGCCAGGCCAAAGTCGCTGACCTTGGCCACCAGGTCCTCTGAGACAAGAATGTTCCGGGCGGCTAGGTCGCGGTGCACCAGCTTCTTACTCTCCAGGTATTCCATGCCCTCGGCCACGTGCCTGGGGGGAGGGGGCGCTGGGCAAGGGCCTGGGATGCCTGGGCCAGACTCCCAAGGCCAGGCTCCTCCCTGCTCCATGCCTTGATTTCCCTCCTACCCCCTGGAGCCCCACTCACAGGGAAAACTGCAGGAGCTGCGGGGTGTTCACAAGGGCCCGGCCCCGCGTCCGTAGAAAATTCACCAGGTTACCCTGTGGGGGACACGGGCAGGGTCTAGCAGTGCTGGAGGCTGCTCAGCTGCCCCACCAGCACCCTACCTGACCCTTGGGTCCTGCCCCACCCCTAACCCCCACCCTCAGGTCCTGCCCCACTCCCACCCCACCCCGACCCTCTGGCCCCGCTCCCACCGCCCTCCACCACCCTTGGGTCCTGCCCCACCTTGCTCACGTGCTCCATGACGATGTAGAGGCCCTGATGTAGGATCACACCCAGTAGACGCACCAGGTTCTTATGCTGCACCTTCCTGGGGGCAGGTGGGTATGGGGTGAAGGCGGGGTGGGACCCTGGCCCTAGGGCGCCCTCCCCTGCCATACCTAGGACTCACGTCATGACCGCCGTCTCGTCCAGGAAGGCCTGGGCTGTTACGTCACATTTGATATTCTTCACGGCCACCTTCTGCCCCAGATACTCACCCTGCAGGACAGCTGAGGGGAAGGCGGGGGTGGGGAGGAGATCAGGACCCCACAGAGACAAGACAGACACGCACATACCCACTCACATGAACCGTGGAAGAGGCCAGTGCAGTGGCAGGTCCCCAGGCCTGGAAACCCCTCCCAGTAGGCTCCAGTTGTTCAATTGCTCAGTTGTGTCTGACTCTGTGCCACCCCATGGACTGTAGCTCACCACGCTCCTCTGTTCATGGGAGTCTCCAGGCAAGAATACTGGAGTGGGTTGCCATTTCCTCCTCCAGGGGTTCTTCCGAACGCAGGGACCAAACCCGTGTCTCTTACATTGGCAGGCGGGTTCTTTACCACTGAGCCACCTGCGAAGCCGACAAGCTCCAGACCCCGGAGCAAAGATAATCACCTAAACCAGGGGTCTGCAAACTCCAGCCCGTGAGCCCAACCTAGTCCCCCCCAAGGGTTCTTGCAAGGCCTGCAAGCTCAGAATGGGTTTTTACATTTTTAAATGGTTGGGGGAAAAAAATCAAGAAGACTATTTCATGACATGAAAATGATACAAAATTCAATTTCAGTGTCCATAAAGTTTTATTGGCATGTGGCCTTCGTTGTTTGTCTCCCTGTGGCCTGTAGCTGCTTTCCTGTAACAAGGGCAGAGCTGAACAGACGTGACAGAAAACATGCACACACCAGCCCTTTCCAGAGAAGGTCCTGATCCAAGCCCTGGGACCTCCCAGGATAATAACCTCAGGCTGTGGCATCGACACAGAGGGACCTGGGACTTCTCTGGTGGTCCAGTGGTTAGGACTCTGAGATTTCACTGCCGAGTGCAAGGGTCCAATCCCTGGATGGGGAACTAAGATCCCACAAACTGTGCAGAATGGCCAAATAATAATAATAACTCATAAATTTTAAACATTTGGAACTTCCTTGGTGGTCCAGTGGTTAAGACTCCATGCTACTAATGCAGGTTTGATCCCTGGTTGGGAAGCTAAGATCCTACAGGCTGCACAGCCAAAATGCAAATAATAATAAAACAGAAGTGTGCAAGGGTCCAGGGGGTGTGAAGGACTCACTCATACCCACTGGGTACCTGCCCTCATCACCTCTCTCCTCATCCTGGCTGTCATGAACCTCCTTCCATAGAGAGGAGCCCTTGTGTCTTCAGTGGCAAGGTAAGTAGGTATCAAACGTGGGTGTCAATTCATCTCTGGGAACCCCCCTCTCTTCCTTCAGCCCCCACGAGGTCCCCTGCTCACCTCCAAACTCTCCCTCTCCGATCTGCGCTCCCAGCGTCAAATGCTGCAGGTTCAGTAACCAGCCGGCTGTAGGGGGGAGACCCAGTGAGAGGGCTGCCAGCGGCTCCACCTGGCAGGAGACCAGGCCCTGTCTCCCATAGCAGCGGCCCATGGCCACATCTGATGCACCACACTCCTGGTACCAGTTATGGGGGCTGGGAGTGGTGGTGAAAGCAACAGGGCCCACCTGTCAGGGCCCTTCTCTCTTCTACCTGGAGACTGTGTCCTTCCAAGGACCCTGCAGAATCTTCCTTTACGGTGCTTTCCCTCTGCCCTCCTCCCTCCACCAGGGATACACAGACCAAAATACACAACAGATACTGGGAAAGTTTCCAGAACTTCTGGTAAAGGTTCTGGAACATTCTTAGAATATGCCAGCACTCTAAGTCATCATCTTGGGACTTCCCCAGTGGTCCAGTGGCTAAGACTCCATGCTCCTAATGCAGGGGGCCCGGGTTTGAACCCTGGGCCGGAGACTAGATCCCACATGCCACAAGTAAGACCTGAAAGTGTTAGTCACACAGTTGTATCTGACTCTCTGCGACCCCATGGACTGTAGCTGTCCAGGTTCCTCTGTCCATGGGATTCTCCAGGGAAGAATACTGAAGTGGGTTGCCATTCCCTTCTCCAGGGGATCTTCCCGACCCAGGGATCGCACCTGGGTTTCCCGCATTACGGGCAGATTCTTTACCACCAGGAAGGGTGGTAAGTGAAGAGCTTCCCATACTCAGATGGTAAAGAATCTGCCTGCAATGCAGGAGACCCAGGTTCAATCCCTGGGTTGAGAAGATCTCCTGGAGAAGGGAATGGCAACCCACTCCAGTATTGTTGCCTGAAGAATCCCATGGACAGAGGAGCCTGGCAGCTACCGTCCATGGGGTTGCAAAGAGTTGGACACGACTGAGCGACTAATACACTCTTAGATGGTAAGTAAGACCCAGTGCAGTCAAATAAATAAATATTTTAAGTCATCATCTTTGTTCTAGCTTCCCTGATCTTTGTGCCGAACATGCCTGTGTTCTCCTGCCCCCCTGCATTGTCCTCTGACAGACTCTGTAGGTCTCCGCCTCTTCCCGAACAAATCCCCTCTTAAAATCACCAGCCCTTGCATACGGTCAGGCACAGCCTCCACCCGGGTGTCATCCCCAAGACATTTCCAAGAAGACAGCCACGATCACCAGGTTCAAAGGGGGGTGGCCAGGGCAGGGTGTGCTTGCTCTTAATGTGGGAGATCTCACTACTCAAGGGTGGGAAAAGCATTTCAGGTGAGGGGAACAGAATGCACAACAGTCCAGAGGCATGAGGGTAAGTGCAGAGTCATACAACCTCAGGGGCATGTGGAAAAGAAGGGCCTCATAGGTGAAGCAGGAAAGATAGCTCAGCCACAAGGAAAGGTTCTAGAAGGCAGTGGAGCTGCTTGGCCTCCCCCCTTTAGACACAGGAGTGAGGTGGGTGGATTTTCACGTAGAAAGTTGCCTCCGAGGTCACAGGGTTTGGGAGGAAGGGGGACTCTCCCCTCAGGAAGGAGGTGATCTGATGGGAAGGTCCAAGGCTGGGCCAGGGTGGGGGCACTCAGACAGGGAGGGGCCAGATTGAAACTGGTGTTAATAGAACTTGGCCATGGAGGGGTTGTGGGAAGGCAGAGGGCTGGGGGCGGGGCGGCATTGAGGATCTGCCTAGGGCTTCTGACTCAGGTGAAGGATGATGAAACCAGGGGAAGCAGCTGGTGTGGGAAATAGATGGATGGTGTGCTGATGGGTACGTGCAGGCGTGCCCCACCCAGCCCAAGGGCACCCAGGTCTTCCGCCTGCAGAGCCTGGCACTGTGACCTACTCAGGTGAGGCAGCCTTGGCTGTGTGCCCTGCCTCCCCAGGCCAGGCCACTCAGGCAGGAAGGGCGGGGCCCCCTACCCTTGGCCAGCTCCTCCTCCGCCGACTTGGTGCCCTGCTTTCTCTTCGGTCTCACAAGCTTCGTGCAGATGGCCCCCTGGTCCTTGCTGTAATACTGCAAGGGGTGGGGCAGGGCAGAGGCAGCCGTGAGTGCAACCCCCCACATCTGGTGAGCCCCTGCCTCCCATCCCCTTCCCAGGGGGTTCTTCCGACGGGTGGGTGGGTGCTGGGGAGGAGGAGAGGGGGTGGGTTCCCACAGGACTCTTTAGGCTGGTTTCCATGGGAACAGGAAAGGATGCAGAGGAGGAAACAGGAGGATGGGGGTGTGTGTCTTGGGATTGGTGTCAAATTGGAGGTTCCTGGGTGTCCCTGGAGCAGTCACCCCAGCCTGTGGAGATGGGGGGACCTGGAGAACTGAGACTATCTGGAGGGTGGTGGTCCAGGGACCAGTGCTTCCTTGTCCACGTTGGGAAGCATGAGCTTCTGGTGGAGGGGGGTCCCATGTCTACCCAGCTGTTGGGACGGGCTGAAGCCTGGCCTCCCTACATCTCTGCACTAGGGGGCCTGGGCGGCCGCACCTCCACCATATCCATGAGGTTGCAGAAGCAGACCTCCTCGTCGATAGTCAGGTGGCCGTCGCGGTGCAGCACGCGGTAGTGGATGACGTCTCGGCTGAAGCTCACGCACAGCACGTAGTCACCCGGATGCCGTGCCGACTCCCGCACCAGGAACAGCCCGTCCTCAGGCGGCTGCAGCTGCTGCACCGCCTCCTGGCCCGAGATCTTCCCGTGGAACCACCTGTGGCGGGTGGAAGGGCGGGCTGGGCGGGGCTGGCTGGGCCCTGCTGACCCCACCCGTGTCCGGGGGGGTGCTTCCCCACGACTCACGGCATGAGGCTAAGCTTGGGGTCCGCCGAGAGGGCCTCGCGCTCACGCAGCGCCCCAGCTGCCAGCAGCCCCTCCTGCCCACTGGCGTGGTGCTTGGCACGGTACCAGCTCTTGTTCTGCCGGGAGGGAGCCAGGGGTCGGTGGGGGAGATGTTTCCTGGAGGAGCACCCCTGCTGTCCAAGCACATCCCCCCCTACTCACTTCGCAGGCCTCAAGGATGGTGACCACGTCGCCCTTGCAGAAGGCCAGCTCCCCGGGCTTGGGGCGCGTGTGCTCACACTTGGTGATGCACTGGGTGCCGGGGGCCCAGCGCCTCTGGGGGGCGTGGCGAGAGGGCGAAAGGGGTCATGAGAGAGATGGTGGGGGTCGGGGGTGGGGCCCAGAGGAGAGAGAAAGGCTGTATTGAGGCAGAGACCAGGGACAGAACACAGGAGAGCGGAGATGGTGGTGGGGTAGAGGAAATGGAGTCACAAACAGAGGGACCCCCCCAGGGCAGAAGATGGCAGGAGAGTGAGAAAAAACACCAAGTGACAGGAAAAGACCTGCGGCCACCGCCTAAGGGGACACGGGTCGGACGGTCCCCCGCCCCCACCCCCCAGCCCCACGGAGCTGAGGTCCCGTGGCCGAAGGCGAGGAAGGGCCCAGGCCCAGGCACCCAGCTGGGAATACTCACCGTTGGCATCCTGGCTGAGATGGGTGAGGGGTGCCAGGCGTGGAGGAAGCGAGGGCTTCCCTGGGGAGGGGCAGAGACCAGCTGGAGAGCTCAAGATTCAAGCCAGGCTGGGGGCCCAGCGCGGTTTCCAGCCTGGCCCAGGTGGAGGCGACCGTCGGGCGGCCTCTCCCCCACCCCAGGGGTTGGGGGGGCCCAAGGTGCTGGTCCCCAAGCCCCCCTCAGGGGAGGTGGCCTTTCCCTGGGAGAGTTCCTTATCAGGGAGCCCGGCTGCGCCGTCATCCCCAAAGGGGAACTGAGGCACAGGGCAGGCTCAGAGTGAGTGGCCAGGTGCTGGCTCAGGCCCCAGCAGCCCACACTGGGGTGCTTGGAGCCACTAAACGTGGGGCGCTTGTAGCCACTAAACGGAACCTGGTTCTTCCTCTTTTCTGGTAAAGTAGGCAGGGGTATGATGAGGAAACAGAGGATGATTCAAGGTCATTCCCAAGAATCTCTGACCCTGGCGGGGGTGGGGCCGGGCAGTGCCGCCCTGCTGGGCTCCTCTGGCTGCCGGCTGGGTCTCTGATCCGCCCCCTCTGCCCCCGCCCCCATTCCCCACCCGAGGACAGAAATACAAAGTCCCGCACTGGTGCTGGGGTGGGGGCATTTCTGTTCCCTGCTTTCCCCACGGATCCCACCAGGTGGCCAGAGCCGTGGGCCAGGTGGGGAGGAGTGAGTCTCCGCCCCCAGAAATCCCCAGCCCTCTATGTACTCACACGCATACTGATCCATGTACACACGAGAACACACAGAAACACACAGGGCTTGAACACAGGTGGACACAGGTACCCACAGGCACGCGGGTATGCAAGCAAAAGCAGTTTCTCCTAGAGACAGTTGTGCACACACGTCTACACGTGTGAACACACGCACAGACATTCGGAAACGTGTGTGCCGCACCCCCCCCCCCACAACCCACACTTGAACACCTGGGCGCCACACGCTGGGCCACCCGGGCACGCAGGGCTACACGCAGGGCCGCGCACACGCAGCGCAGAGACACGCGCGCACATCCCTCCACGTGGACGCGCGGATACACACACCCAGGGGTTGCAGACGCGCATACCCGCACCTACAAAAATACCACCCCACCCGACTGCTGGGCGCATCCAACCATACCCACCCCAGCCGCGTACCGGCCGCACGCCCCGGACGCGCGCGCTCGCGCTCGTACACTGGCCCCTCCCGCGCTCGCCGAGCATCCCCCAACCCGCTAGCCTTTGGGCCCCCCCCCCCGCCACTGTCCTAAGGTCTTTCCCCACTATCCCCTCCGGCGCCCTCACCTGTTCAGGGGTCGCCCCTGGGCTGCACTCCGTGCCCGCCCCCAGGAGGGCCCCCGCGCGCCGGCTGCGCACCCCGAGGCGGCCCCGGCTGCACAACTTGGAGCAAGTTGCTGCGTTTCCTCATTTTGGGGGGGGGGGCTGGGATCGGGGTGGGGGGAGCGGGAGGCGCGGCAGCTTGAGCGGCCCCCGCGGGTCCTAGCGCCGGCCGCACTGCGGTCTGCTCGGCGCGCCGCCGCCACCGGCGGCCCCTCCCCGCCCCGCCTCCGGGGCCCCCAGCGCCTCCCGCGCGGCCCCGGCGGGGGCCGGCGGCGCTCTCGAGATCCACGCCACTTCCCGGCCTGGCGCCGCGGGGCGCGCAACCCGTGCGTTCCGGGAATCCACGCCTCCCGGAGCGAGGGCAGCGAGGCACAGGGAGGGGAAGGAGAGAGCTTCCTGTCTAGGCAGGTAAGCAAGTCTCAGAGCCCAGACAACACAGTGGACCCTTCTGACTTCAACGCCCTCAGCCAACTCTAAAGTCTCATTTCAGTACCTGGCCCTAGGAAAGAGCTGTTGGTGCCCAGCACAAAGAAAGCCCTCAAAATGTCAACCACCATGAATATTCTTATCATCCTTGAAATTAAGGGAGAATTGAGACTAAAGGGAAAAACATCACCAGGAACTGGAGGCCTCCTGGCAGAGCAACACTGGGCCTCCCCAAGGCCAACCCAGCTCGTGCCTCGGTTTCCTCCTCTGTAGAGCCAGGCAGCACCAGCTTCCGGCTTAGGAGGCAGTTCCCTGAGCATCTGAAGGCCTGCGGGCCCAGCCCCCAGATCTTCCTCTGTGAGCTCATTTCGAATACTTTCTAGTGGATGAGCGGGTGAGTCCGTAAGGACAAGGAAGAAGCTGACCTTTGGAGGGTGATGCACCAAGATGCCCAGAATTTAATTTTCTGGTACCCCCAAAGTCTAAGTGTCTGTGCACCAAGATGTCATGTGATTTCTGGGACTAGAGGCCCAAAGACAAGAATTAGGGGCTTCCCCAATGGCTCAGAGGATAAATAATCTGCCTGCAAAGCAGGAGACACAGAGGTGGGTTCAATCCCTGGATCAGGAAGGTTCCCTGGAGGAAGAAATGGCAACCCCCTCCAGTATGCTTGCCTGAAGAATCCCACGGACAGAGGAGCCTGATGGGCTACAGGTCATGGGGTGGTAAAGAGTTGGATATGACGACAAGCTAAGCACACGACAAGAATCAGAGATATTCAATATCATGCAATATTATGCACCCAAAACTAGGAAATCATGTATAAGAAAATGCTAAAATCTCTGGTTGTCAGAAACAACCACCATTTACCAGAATGTGATAGAAAACAAACTGTGTGATCCCATACAGGTTATACAGGAAACAGCAAGTCCAAGGGGAACATTCCAGAAGGGGACTCTTGAACCTGCAAAAGGTTATTCCCAATGAAGGAAGCAGGCAGGAGCGGAGCGAGAGAGGGGGCGTCTTTCTCTGTGGTGGTGTAATGTGCTAATACTGGCAGTGTTTGCTGGGAGGTTTCCTGCTCATCTGGCTCTCTGGGCTCCATGGATCTGGCTGTGGGATTGTCCCAGGTGCACCCCCCCCACCCAACTTCCCAGCCATGGGCACCGCTCTGGACCAAGGGGCTGGGGACCCTGCAGCTAGCATTCGGCAGGGTCACTGGGGGTCAACCGTATATGGCAAACCATTATCACTTGCCCAAAATAGCAGCGCAGCGTCAAAGTGGCCACAGCGGAAACCCAGCAGCACTGTTAGAATCACACCAGCTACTGTGGCAGGCCCCGGCGCGCGAGGGAGGGCTGCCTGCTTTCCTCAGCACAGCCTGTGCTTACGACTACCCCGGTGCCCTGGCGCCCCACGGAGCTTTTCTCCTTGATGCCACCAGAGAGATGGGAGGAGGTTGAATGGGTCTGCTATCTTCCTCTGCAAACTGTGACACTTTGTGTCTCAGAAACATCTCCATCCTCCCCGGGACGGGGTCCTTGTCCCACGCTCTGTGAGGCCCTCCCCTGAAAGATGGCCCTACCAGAGAAACTAGAGGTGCTGAGCTTAGAGAAGGAGAGTCTTGAGCAAACGGCATCAAGTACCCTTATCAACAAGGGCTGGCCTGGGAAGGGGAGGCCCCCCTGGCATAGGCATGGGGCACAGTGCAGTGCCTGACTCTAGGGGGACAGATTTGAGCCCATGGTTTATGTGGGTAAGAGCCACATAAGGGGTGAGCTTCCCATGCCTAGAGGCATCCAAGAATTGACCACCTTGAATCACAAAGATGTTCTTCCAGTCCCCAGGGTGGCCATACCAGTGTCTACTGCCTCCTGCCTTCTACCTGCCTGAAGCCAGTGGGTAGCCACATCACGGGTCACACCCCCAGACATCCCCAGTTGCGGGCTCCTCACCCTCCAGGTTCCAGTCCTGTCGACTTGATTCCAGAAATTCTCTGGCTCCCCCCCGCACCCAGGCAAGCCCTGTGGTGCAGGCTGGTGACACAGAAGCCCCCTCACTGTTCCTTTGGCTCCTCCAGGTTTCCTTCTTGTAGTCCTCCACCTTCTACTGTACAGACAAGGGACGGACTGTGGCCCTCCTTTTCTTCATACCCCTCTGGAACTCCCCATTGCCTGAGGGCAGAGCCTAAAGCGCTCAATCTGGTGTTCAGGGCTCTTGTGTTCAACCTCCAGCTGACCTCCCAGGTCTCACCTCCTTCTCCCACCAAGTACCCAGCAGTCTGGCAGCACTGAACCACAGGAGTTGGCAAGCATCTGTCCCCACTGTCCTCTCTGCCTGGAATGTCCCTGCCCTTGTCTGGCTGGCACCCCCAGTTCTCTCCATCTTTACAGTGCCCTCTTAGATGTCCCTACTTGTCTCAGAGCAAGACCCCAACCCACTTCCATTCCCTGAAAACACACAGCACTAGCCCTCTCTTCTCGCTGTGTGATGGGCATGGACCTGACCATGGTGACTGAGCCCATCAGCCTGCCTGAGAAGGAATCAGCCCAGGGGAAGCAGAGAGAGAGACTGACTCCCTCAGGAAGAATTAAAATGCTTGGATCCAGCCATGCCTGGAGTTTATGCTCTGCCTCATGTTGGAAGCTGGTCTTTGCTTTTTGGAGGCTTCAGACTGACTCAATGGTTTGAGCAAACTTTGGGAGATGGTGAAGGACAGGGAAGCCTGACGTGCTGCGGTCCATGGGGTCACAAAGAGTCAGGCACGACTCTTTGAGCAACTGAACAACAAATACGGAAAATGGGACCAGAAGTTGGGTGTTGAGATGAATGGATTCTATGATGTGGAACTGGTGAGTCAGATTGGGTTGCCTTAAACCCAGCTGGAGAAGAAGGAACTCTTGGGTGTTCCCTTCCATGAGCTGCTAAATATACCTTCCACCCACCGGGTCAGGTGGCACTGACTTTCATTGCTCGCCACAGAGAAGCCCTGATGGACCCACCCTGTCCCCCTTCGAAGGCTTTTCTTTTCCTTGTCCAAATCTCATTGTTCTTCACCTTTCTATTCTGTTTTCACTGTTGTAGTTTGGCTACCCCTCCCATCAACAACATCAGATATGCAGATTATACCACTCTAATGGCAGAAAGTGAGGAGGAACTAAAGAGCCTCTTGATGAGGGTGGGAGAGGAGAGTGAAGGAGGTGGCTTAAAACTCAACATTCAAAAAGCTAAGATCATGGCATCTGGTCCCATCACTTCATGGCAAATAGATGGGGAAATAATGGAAACAGTGATAGACTCTATTTTATTGGGCTCCAAAATCACTGCAGGTGGTGATTGCTGTCATGAAATTAAAAGACGCTTGCTCCTTGGAAGAAAAACTATGACAAACCTAGACCTGTATTAAAAAGCAGAGACATCACTTTGCTGACAAATGTCTGTATAGTCAAAACTATGGTTGTTCCAGCAGTCATGTACAGATGTGAGAGTTGGACCACTAAGAAGGCTGAGTGCTGGAAAGTTGATGCTTTCAAATTGTGGTGCTGGAGAAGACTCTTGAGAGGCCCTTGGACTGCAAGGAGATCAAACCAGTCCATCCTAAACGAAATCAACGCTGAATATTCGTTGGAAGGACTGATGCTGGAGCTCCAATACTTTGGTCACCTGATAAGAGCCAACTCATTGGAAAAGAACCTGATGCTGGGAAAGATTGAGGGCAGGAGGAGAAGGGGAGACAGAGGATGAGATGGTTGGATATCACAGACTCAATGGACATGACTTTGAAAAAACTCTGGGAGATGGTGAAGGACAGGGAAGCCTGGCGTGAGGCAGTCCATGGGGTGGCAAAGAGTCAGACACAACTGAGCAACTGAACAACAACAACAACAATAATGCACACTATGTGTCATGTAACAGGCACTTCATGTTACACACCAGTTGGGATTACGATCAGCTCCACCAAGGTGAGGCACTGGTCTCCTCTTCCTCAAAGCTCCCAGGCTTGCTCCCATCTCAGGACCTTTGCATTCCTGTGCCTCCTGCCTGGGATACTTCCCCAGATGTACCCCACCTTCCAGAACCCCACAGAATATTTCAGCCCGCTGATACTTCACACGCCCTTCCCCTGAAGCCCTGTAGAACCACCACGGGCAGAAGGAACATAGACTGTGCTGCATCTTGTTTGCTGGCTGTGTCTTCTCTAGAACATCAGCCCCCTGAGGGCAGAGCTTTTATATGATGTCCTTCACTGCTGTGGCCTCAGTACCCGATTCAGAGGAGGTGCTCAGAACACACTTAAAGAAAATATTTAATTAGTTTTGGCTGTGCTGGGTCTTTGATGCTGTCTGTGGGCTTTCTCTGGTTGCAGCTAGTGGGGCTACTGTTTGTTGTGGTGCGAGGCCTTCTCACTGAGGTGCCTTCCCTTATTGTGGAGCACAGGCTCTAGGGTGCCCGGGCTTCAGTAGTTGTGGCGCACGGGCTTCGGTGCGCCACACCATGTGGGAACTTCCCAGATCAGGGATCAGACCTGTGTCCCCTGCATTGGCAGGCAGACTCTTACCGAGTAGACCACTAGGGAAGTCCCAAAATGTACTTTTAAAGCCAGAGAATACTGGGGAGAGGGAAGCT